GAAATTCAAAAATCACTATTCTACTAAAAAAAGAGTTCAAAAATAAAATAAAAAAAATCAAAAATAAAATGGGACAACTACACCTGAAACGCAACCCAATTAATTCTTCTCTTCTTTTTTCTTCCGTAGTCCGGTAATGCTCCGGTACCCCACCTTTCGCTATTATGTCCTGCAAAATCAAAGAGAAACAAGAATTAAAATGATATTATAGATCAAGTAATCAAACGAATATAAAAAAAATAATGAAACAGATCCAGACAAAGCAAATAAAAAATTTTCTCCACTGCTTCCCTGGCAACAACGCCAAAAACTGGTGTGTTTGGAAGCATGTCGTTAACCACTTCGGAACACCAATTTTAATATTTATAATTTTTTTTTCGATTCTCAAATAATTACAAATGCAATAAATGGTGAGAACGGGTCGTATCCACAGGGAAGCGAGGGAAAAATCATTATTTACTTATATTCAGGAAAGAGAACATAATTGAGAGTTGAAGAAAAATAAATAAATAACAGAAATAAGTAAATAAAAGGAATGAAATGAAAAGTCTGTAATCCGATCAGAGGTAGCAGTCTCCGGATCTCTCCTTTGACACTCGAACTTCTTGAGCAAGGCCTTCCGTCTTACCTAGCCAAATTCCAGATTTGTAGAAAAGAAAACAAAAATCAAACTGAATGAAAGTAAATTGCAGAAAGGAAATAACGGAACTGGAAATGAAAGAACAGAAATTAAATCTAAGACTACTGGTTAGGATCCGAATCCAAAGGTGGCAGTAGTAGCTTAGGCAAACTGCAAGCAGGAACCCCTCCTCTTGCCTAGGCGTCCTCCTCTTCTTCTACCCTTGAAGTTCTCAAAATCAGCCTTCCGTCTTACCTGGGGGCAGAATCTAACCCCTTCTCAGGAGCCCTTGAGTCCTTTATATAGAGAATGGTGGATAGAATTGGGATTAGAGAGAAAGAGGGGGCGGCAACTTGGTTTTAGCAAATATCTAGGTGCCCTAAGGTTTCTAATGAAGGGTTAGGATGGTTCTAAGGTGATCTTAAGGCTGAGAAGAAAAGGAGAGGGTGCCCAATATTATGTAGGACTGAGATTTGGGCACCCAGAAATGGATGGTGGAGATTGAGACGCTTAGGGTTGAAAGGTGGAGATTAAATGGAGTGGGTAGTGCCCTAGAGTGGATGGTTGAGATAGAGAGTGGAATAGAGAGTTGAGATCTATTGGCTAAAGGCTGAATGGTGAGGATTAGAAGTTAGGTGGCGCCTTAGGGTTAGAATGCTAAAAAGAAAGTGCCCTAGAATGAATGGTGGAGATTAGAAGGGATTGAAGGTGGGGATTTAGTAGTTAGAGGCAGCTAGGGTTTGTTAAGGATGAAAAGAATGAGTTAGAAGGCGCCCTAAGGTTTGCTAAGGAGAGGGAAGCACGCTAATATAGTAGGAGGAGTGCCATTCTGGGTTTAGTAGATAGAAGGCGTCCTCCTGTGCTCAGTTTTTCACAAAAACACCCCCTCTCTTAGTTGGACTTCACACCAGCTTCCCAAAAACTGCATTTTAGCCTTGAAACTCCCCAATTTTCCCTAAGATTTGCACAGAGACCCTTAGACCTCACAATATTGAATTTAACTAGGAAAAGGGCATATTTTTTACTACAGAGTTAAAAATACCCCTGAAATGATGCCCTTAAGGCATCAAACTACAAAGTTATCACAGACCCCGTGGGACTCGTCCCATATAGGATATCCTTGCTACATCAGTACTGGTTGCTACTCAGCCTTCCTGTCAGCATCCTATGATTATTCACTTGATGGATGGGTCTCTCCCACCTTGTTCTCATCTCGCCGCCAGGTATCCCTTACCACAGTCTTTGTTAGTTCATTTTGGTGATGATACTTTGGAACCCTCCAGGTATTCCCAAGCAGCCAAATCTACTCATTGGCATGATGCCATGACTAAGGAGTTTAATGCCTTGGTTTCTAATGGAACTTGGAGTCTTGTTCCATATTCCCCTTACATGAATGTGGTTGGGAGCAAGTGGGTCTATAAAATCAAATGGAAGGCAGATGGTACCATTGACAAGTACAAGGCGCATTTGGTCGCACAGGGTTTTACTCAGATTCCCGGGGTTGATTTTACAGCTACTTTTAGCCCGGTTGTCAAACTCGTAACCATTTGCACCATTCTCTCTTGCTGTGATGAATCGATGGTGTATACATCAGATTGACTTTGATAATGCTTTCTTGAATGTGATGCTTCGTGAAAATATCTACATTTGACAGCCTAAGGGTTTTGTGGATCCTACCAAACCAGAACATGTGTGCAAATTGCACAAAGCCCTCTATCGACTTCGTCAGGCTCCGCGAGCTTGCATGCTTGTCTCACTCATCAGTTAGCACAAATGGGTTTCCAAGCATCTACTGCTGATACTTCTCTATTTGTGTTTTGCTCTAAATATGTTACTCTGTATCTCCTACTCTATGTGGATGATGTTTTACTGATTGGGAACTCCCATAGTGCTATTCATAACTGCATTCAAGAGCTTTCTCGTCATTTCTCTCTTAAGGATCTAAGCCCTGCCGCTTTCTTCCTTGGTATTCAACTTCTCAGGCATTCTAATGGGATACTTCTTAGTCAACGTTAGTACATTTCTGACTTGCTCTGACGGTCTCACATGGATGTTGCTAAACCGATTTCCTCTCTTATGGCTGTTCACCCCAAGCTTACTCAGCATGATGGCTCTCCTCTTTCTGATCCTACTAAGTATCAGAGTATTGTTGGCGCTCTTCAGTATGTTGCTATAATCCGTCCAGACATTTCCTTCACTATCAGCAAAGTCTCTCAGTTCCTTTAGTCTCCTACTGATGTTCATTGGGCAGTTGTCAAATGCATCTTGCGTTATCTCAAACACACCGTTATGCATGGTCTCTACAACGCTTTTTCAAATGCTGACTGGGCCGGTTGCCCGGATGACCGATGATCTACTAGTGGATTTACTGTTTATTTAGGGCCTAATCTTATTGCCTGAAGCTCTCGCAAATAGGCCACAGTAGAACACTCCAGCATCGAGTCTGAGTTTCGTGCTTGTGCTACATATGCTACTGAAGTGTTGTGGATTTCCTCTCTTCTTCGAGTTCTTGATGTCAATCTCTCTGAGATCCCTACTCTCTGAGATCCCTACTATTTGGTGTGATAACATCGGTGCCACCTACCTTGCGGCCAATCCTGTTTCTCGTGCTCGGACTCGTCATGTTGAGGTTGATTTTCACTTTCTCCGAGATCTTGTTCTTGCTAAATGGCTTACCATGCGATTCATCTCTTCCAAAGATCAGGTTGCTGACATTCTCATCAAGCCACTTGTCGGTGATCAGTTTTGCTTCTTGCGGGACAAACTCCATGTTCATGATGATCATGGAGTTTGAGGGGGTGTATTAGAGTATATCCAATAGTTGCAATTATGTACATCTAGGATTCCATCCTTAGGATAACATTTATCCTTAGAGGTTAGGATAATTGTTATCCTAATGAGATGAGATCTGTTGTGTTATCTTTATTGGTTGTTATCTAGGACTCTATCTAAGATAGAGTTTTCCCTTTGTAGAACTCTTCTATTATAAATACAATGCAAGGCCAATGGCCAATTCATTGCGCTAAATACTTCTTGTGTTTCTCTTTTTCTAATTTGGGATCACTACTTCACCAGCTCCATAAAATACAGCCTTTGAGCCATCAAAAGGTCTAACTTTAGCAGTATCTTTTATATTAAATCTCTTCTTAACCGCCTCTACAACATTCTCCCAATCTTGGACTCTTTTGGCTGCAGTCAGAATCAAGTTCTTCTCTGTAACGGATAACGTAGTTATCTGAAGGTTGAGATCAAGAGATTAGCATCATCTAGATATTAGGATTAGATTCATTGTGTAGCCATTCCTGTTATCTCTCTGTTATTCTTATCTCTGTATCATGCTTATCTCTCTGTTGTACTTATTTGTACGTTCACTATATAATTGATCTCATGGGTATCCAATTCTCATTGCATTGGAACCCTTTACCTCATATTCTTTCTTCAGTTCGTTCATTCTCCCATTCTCCTTCCGCTACATCTAAGAGCAATCTTTGAGTTCTAGAGTCACTGCAAACTATGGCTTGAGGTATTTTAAAGCTTTGTTCTTCTTCCTTCGATTTATCTTTATGGCTCTGCTTAGCATAGATTTCAGAATCACCATGAACATTTGAGCTTTGTCTTCTATCTACACTCAGTAGAAATTCCTGTGGGGCCTCTGTAAGCATTCTCCATCCTACTCTCTCTCCATCCTCTGGCACACACACCATGTGTTTTCTATTATCACCACCAACTTCCATAATTGCTACGAACCAACCCTCTGGCACACACAGCTTTGTATTGCTACGAACCAACCCTCATATCTACCTTTTTCGGAACAAAAACTCTTGGCTTCAATTTTCACTTCCTTTCTTCAAATCACCATCATGGCGGGTATATATGCTTCTAATGTGAAGAATCCTTTCCTCGTACATARAGTTATGCTTCCAAATCTCCCCCACCCAATGAAGAAGATAACCTTCATACATATCTTGTGCCATCATCTGCTTTTGGGTACTGCACACAATCATGTAAGCAAGGCGTTTGGTTGCCTCTATGGGAATAGGACATGAGAAAATTTGGACCTGGCTAGGGAATCCTTTCACCTGATGTTATAACATTTCTTTTAAAGATACACTTAGAGGCCTGTGATATGGGAAACTTGTTTCTCTAGGGAAGTCCAGGCATTTGACTGAAACATAATTTATTTCATTGTATTCTGTTCTTTCTTTAGGGGTTGATTTTTTACTTGGAAAATCATCCAACTAGGATATCCTACATCTCTCATGCAGAATATTGTGTAAAGTGGGTAGCCTAGTGCATGATGCTCCTGCCAATGCAGTTCTAATATCGTGTATTCAACTTATTTTATGTTCGCTGCATCTATTCTCAAGTTACTATCTTTCAGGTGGAACTCATTGAGCCTGCAGCATCTGGTACGCATAATGTACTCAAAGCATGTTCTAAAGAAAAGGTGCATAAAGTTGTTGTTGTGTCATCTATATCTGCTGTCTACAAGAATCCAAATTGGCCAAAGAATCAAGTTATGGACGAAATGTGTTGGTCTGATAAGGAATACTGCAAGGAAATCAAGGTAACTGATCAAAAAAATACCACCAAGTAAGATTATTTTGGTTTTGATTTATTTCTATGATGGATGGTCATTTTTGAAAATGATTGAGAACGAAGTAATAGATTAGATGATAATAAATGCGGAATTCTGGTATGCTTTGATATTTTGTTTGTCCCCATTGAAATAGTAAGAATGATTTTATCTACCTTTCTATCCCCTCTTAAATTATTCAATTGACAATTATGTAGTTCTTCTGTAAATATTTTGTGTTGAAAGAAATTTCTTGGGGCCATGCTAGGTATTTCCTAATGGCTTAACAGAGACTTGAGAACTGAAGGAAGTGTTAGGATCCATCATATGGATGGTTGAACCATGCTACATTGTTGGGCAAAATATCAAAAAATTTTCTAATCCTTTTGGGAATTGAATTCTCTATGTTTCGAAAAATTGCATTTTTCAGAATCGACCTTGTATTGAACCGGACCAGATTTGAATCCAAACAAAGAGGGAGATGTATATCTGATATGGATGTCACAAACGCAGATCCCAAGGTGAAATTTCATGCCCAGGTCAGTCCTAAAACCAGCCTCCACTGAAGATGGTGCATCGTATTCTTGAAGCCGGTTCAGTAATGCAGTTTTCAGTAAAACTACAATCCAACTGCTTGGATCGAACTAGGGAGGTGAGCACAAAACTCCTCTACATTTTTCTTCCAAAAATTAGAAGAACACTGATCTCTATCGTTCCCAAAATAGATGTGGTCGAACTAGGGTTTCTTGGGTGACAAAAGAAGAAGAGAGAGCATTATAGAGAGGTGTTATTATCTGGTTCGCCCTCTTCTTCTTTTATCTCTTTATGGAACACTTTTCCTAATCAAATTAAGAGATTATCCAAATCTAATTTGAATTTGGAATCTATTAAGAGATAAGCCTTATCCTCTTAAGAGGATGGATGCTCCATACCCATTTCCAAGCCTAGATTCGCTCCATGTCACATGACAACTTAGTTGTCATGTGACAACTTAATTAATCATATTAATTATGGGCTTTAGTCCCATTAGCTATATGGGTAACGACCTAAGAGTGTTGCTTGGCCAATTTAGGTTTGATTTGTATGGTGTRGAACCCCACAATGACCTCACATAAACCCACATGACTTCGGCCCAACCTCTATAAAAAGGCCTAATCAAATTCACTACCAAATGCAGCGAACCCCTCGGCACATCACTATGGACTCAAATGGGTCAAACATTTACAATTAAATGATCATTGAATCCAACAATTCTATAAAGACCCAAGGATAATAGACTTAAGTAAGATAAAACCCATCATGTAATCAGCCCTGTAATGGTTTCTTAAACTTAACATTTTGGCCCGTAATGATCAAATACTACCCGATAGGGAATGACCTCTCCCTTGGCTGCAAGGTGCAGTATCACATTCTCTATCCGGATGGATCCTAGGAATTAAAACATTTTTCCACATATATATATATATATATATATATACAAGTTTCATCCTATCGTATCGACACTTAGAAACGACCGAAACTTTATTATTTTTTAGTTTTTTTTTCAAATTTTGTTTCTTTTTTGGAAGCTTTTAGCATGCTTTTTATTATTAAAAAAATTGGGGGGTCTGAAACACCTAGAAAGAGGTGTTTCAAACCGTATCATTTTGAAAAGATACGATACGATGCGCTCGATACGAGGCGTATTGTATCGATACTTTGAACCATGAAAGGGAGTGTAAGCCCTATCATTCACTTTGTCTAACAAAGGGGCCAATCCTATCACTATGATCATCCACTTAAGTGAATTCTCAAACTGCCCCAACATACCTAGGTTATGACCCTCAATGGATCTCATTGATTGGCATATCAAAAGGAGCCCAATCTAACACCTAGTGTAGTACCATAATCAAGTTTAGGGGTTATATGTAATTTACCAGTTTTGCCCATCAATCTCCAAGGTCTAGGGCATAATTAGAAAATGGTTCGAGTTCAATGTTTCAAACAAGCACACACTGCATGTGCTTTGGATCTAACCCTAGCAGCTGTGACAAGCTGCCCCAACTTCTTTGGCAACACATCAGTATCAGCATTGGCATGATAAACTCCCAAGTCTATCCAACAGGTAAGAACATCCTAAACTAACACGAGTCTCATAAGTGTCCAGTTTAAGGGGTAATTTTATAGAAACATACCAATACAACATTAAACAATAATGTGCTTTTATTCATTTACAATAAATGTATATGTACATCAATCTGATTAGAGCTAAGGGCAGACATTGATTTTTTTGACTTTTTTGTTTTTTCTTTGAAATTTTTGATTTCTTTTTTAACTAAAAGTGTAAAACTAAAATATTTAACTTTCTTATGAACTTTGGGAACTATTTGAAAAATTAAGAAATGAGAAATCTAAGTCATCTAACACATAAATTAAAAACAAATACTTAACCAAATAAGAATGATGGAATAAATTAATGAAATATGATTGGATCATTGGAAACTTGGATTAATGAAATATGAAAATGGAATAAATTAATAAAATATAAAAATTACAATATAGTTACAAATTAAAAATACAAAATTACATTGTTAAAAAAATAGAAAATAAATTAAAAAAAATTAAAAAAAATTAAAAAAATTACAATAATTTGAATAAAAAAATCTATACAACTATTCAGCTTCATGAATCATGACTTTCACCATCTGCTTCAGGTGAAATATCCGTTGTAGTATCATGCCCTCCTTTGTCTTGTAATCTATCTTCTACATCTAGCCAATCCTTAAAGCAGATGCACATCTCTATACTTTCATTGTTCATGCAGCTTCTCTTGTCATCCAACACCTTGGTACCTGCACTAAAACAAGACTGCGATGGAACTATAGACACCGGAGGGGTTAGTAGATCACGTGCCATGGCGGCGAGTTTTTTGAATGTTCACTACACCAGGCTAAAATATCAAAATTATTTGTTCCCTCACCTAAAGTACAAAAATTTGCTTATAAATAAAAATTAAGTTAAGTAAATGAACTTGTTGTGGAAGTAGCAGATTTCTGTCTTCTACTTATTAAATAAAAAAGTTTCTCTTCTACTATTGGGATCAAGATTAGAAGTTGAAGATGTTGTACAAGTTGTAGGAACATTTCCTAATACTTCAGATTCATATAAATTGTACATTTCAAATAACAAATTATTAATTTCTTCTTTTTTATTTCCAATTTCAATATTCATATTTTCACAATATGTTTCAAGTAAAATATCTAAACCATCTTTCCTAATCCTATAATCAAATATTGTAGTTAAACAATAAATGGGAGAAATGTTCTCCCAATATTTTTTAAATTTATTTTCCATTATTTCAATAATACAATTAAATTGTGGATGATTTCTATATTTTGCAAAACAATCACTAATCACCAGTAATTGATAAGGTAAATTACAACTAGTTGGATAATAAATACCTGATAATTCAATAGTTGCATATTAAAAGTGTTTTAAAAAATCTATTATACAAATTGCCATTTCCCAGTCTTCATCGAATATAATATCATTAGACATTTTTTCATTATAAAAATCAGTAAGAATTTGTTTATGAGAAATACAACTTTTTAGCATAGCATAGATAGAACTTCATCTATGTTTTACATCTAATATATAATCTTTATATTTTAAACCATAATTCTGACATAAATATTTAAGTTATTGTTTTTTCCCCTTGAGCTTTTAATATATTTAATACAATTTCTAATTTTACAAATATGAGTAGAAATAATATTTAAGGCATCTTGAATACATAAATTTAAGATGTGACATGCACATCTGATATGAAATAATTTACCATTTAAACTTTGTTTTAATTGAGATTTTAAAATATTTATTGCAGAATCATTATTGCTAGCATTATCAAAATATTTATTTTCTATTYCATAAGCATGTAAAGTACTTAAAATGGTTGCAGCAATAGCTAAGCCAATATATGGCCATTCAAGCCTAGTAAAACTTAAAATTCTTTTATTTAAAAGCCAATTTTCATCAATAAAATGGTCAATAACACAAATATAACTTATGTTAAATTTAGATGTCCAAACATCAGAAGTAATTACAACTTTAGAATTAAAATTTGATAACAAATAAATTAAATTTTGTTTATATGAAGAAAAAAATTTAAAGCATCTTATCTAATAGTATTCCTACAAACTTTTTTATATTGTGGATTTTTCAAAATTATGCAACCATTTTTCAAGCTTAGTATCTTCAACAAACAAAAATGGTTGTTCTACATGTACAATTTGTTTTGCAAATTCTTGTCTCATATTTTCTTGTGAATATTTAAATGTACCAAAAACCCCCTCTCAATTTGTATTTGTGTTGTTTCTTTCCCTTCTTCTTCTTCCTTCTCATGTGTGAGCAAATGTCTGCTCAAATGGCCAGTACGACCTTTGCTACAATAGCTAATGTCTTTTCTACATTTTTGACAAATTGCTCTTTTTCCCTTCACCTCAATATGCTCTACTTTAAATATTTTTCAAACTGGGCTACTCAACTTACCTCTTTTTTTTCCCCTACTCAACTTTTACCAGGGGTAAAGGTTCCACTTCCGTCAATATCAATAGCATCAATTCTAACACTATCATGATGTGATTGAATATTGTCAACAGTGAACATGTTGGGAAATTGGTTTTGGGAAGAGCCGACCATTTTTTTTAAATTCTAAAAGAATAAAAATTAATTTAATTGGACTTACTTGGATTGTCGGTTCAAAATCCCAACTTGATTTCAACGGATAAAGCCTTTCAACGTCCAAGCCTCCCAAATTGCTAACTTGATATACTTGAGCTGGTTAAGACTTGAGAATTAGAGAATAAAAAAATCAGCCAATTAGAGTTTACTCAGATTATAGAGAATGTATGAGATAGAGAGAGAGAGAGAGAGAGAGAGAGAGTGAGAGAGAGAGAGAGAAGAGATTAAGACAATTGTTGAATTGGTGTGATGAGAATGGTGGAGGATAAGCC